TATTTAATCACTTTAAATTTTGAATTATATTGATTACTAGTAATTTCATTAAATTAATTTATATAATCTTTTTAATTTATTTATTCTTTCATTATTTATTTTTCTCTTTGAAAGATAATATTTATAGATATTGATGCAGATCTTAGAAATCTTTATTATTATTGAAAGTATAGTCTAATTTCTCTCTTATTATCTTTTAATTAATTCAGTCTCTTCCAATCCAATATTATTAAGATGAATTTAAGTAAAAATTCACTTAGCAATTCACTATAACAATAGTTTAAAGATCATAAAATAAGAGCTGTAAAGAAAATATTAACAAAATAATATTAATTTAATTATTATATCTAGTGATCTTATATTACTTATTTAACTATTAAATATTTGTATTAATAAATTTTTTAAAGATAAAATATATAAAAATGATAGTATTGAATAAAAAATAAGTAATATATATTTATTAAAAGTGAAAATTTAATTATAATTTGGTTTATAAATAAATTTTAGAAGTTTAAAATAATATACTTATAAAATAATTTATAATAGCTTTAAAAAATATAAAATTATTAAAAATTAATATTAAAATTTATCAATATATATATAGAATATATAATCATATATTTTTAAAGAGGATAAAAAATTATATTATTTATATTTTATCAAATATAATAAGTAAAATTATATGAATTAGATCAAAAGATATATTAAAAATATATATTTTATAAGTAAATAGTAATCTTTTGCTAAGTGTAATTATTATTAGAGATCTATTAAAAGTATATATATTACTAAATAATAAAGTTAAATTATAGTTTTTATTTTACAATATATTATAATATTATATTATATTTATAAATTATTTGAAAAAAAATATATTTTAAATTATAATTAATAAACTTTATTTTAATATAAAAATAAAAATTATTTCTTAATAAAACTATAACTTTTAATATAGAGTAAACTTGTAATTTTCACTATATTTTATTAATAAATTTAGCCTCTAAGTCATTACTTTTAATCATTATTATAGGTATAGTTTTTAATTCTTTAATATAATTTATAAAAATTAATTATTATATTAATTTTATTTACTTTTATAATTTGATAAGTAATATTTATACAAATAAATCTTTACATTTACTGAAATCACAGATATCTTTTAGAAAAAATTAAAAATTCAATTTATATATAATATATATTAGTCTAATAAAAGTATTTGAATAAGTTTATCTAAAAATAATTAATAATATTCAAATATAATTTATAATATAATTAATAATTTAAATTTTATAACTATTTTTTTATTAAAAGTTTCAAATTTTAAGCTTTTAAATATATTTTTTTATAAAATTAATCTATTGAAAATTATATAATACTATTTAAATAAAATTCTTTGTATTTATAAACTTTAACTAATATTTTGAGAGAATTTATATATTAATTTTAAAATTATATTATTTCTTTTTATTAACAAGTTATAAATTAAATTATTAAAATATTAATTTAGAATTAGAATTAGAATTAGAATTAGGATTACACAGTGAACCTGGATATAATGAAGTGGTCCGTTCCACCTATTTTTTTCGATATAACCAGGTTTTCATTATATTCAGGTAGAAAATTATATTAAAAAAAATTTTGTGCATCAGAAAACTTCATTATAAATGAAAATTCGTTTTATTCAGATTTCGTTATATCCAGGTTCACTGTGTATTTTAATCAAAATTGATATAAATAATAAAATGAAATTTATGACACAATTAATAATTCAAATTCTATAATTTTTATTTGAATTAAATTGATTATTTTTTTATTTACTAAATTTAACTGAAATTTTTGAAAGTTTTCTAGATTATTTTTCATTAATAAGTTATAGATCAATTTATTTATGTATATATTTACATAATTATTTAATATTTCAGATTTATTAGAACATAGTGTTAATATTTTTGTGTTTTACAAATTCACTTATTGTATTTTGATTTTTCATAGACTATTAATTTTTTCATATTCAAAATCTGCAAGTACTGTTCTTTTAGGTATTACTCAAAAATGCTTAATTTAAAAAGAGTAGAAAGATATATTTCTGAAAGTGGAAATTAAGATGAATCTAATAAAAAAAGATGCTAAGATAGGTATAGGCACTCTGTTTTTAATTAAATTTCATAAATAATTGATCAGTGTTTTTTATAGAGAATTCCAAAATTTATAAAATAAAATTTTTATTTTCTAAACTTAGAAAATGAGGCGCATTCAATAAAAAAAGGTATAATTAAATAAGTTGATTGATTTTTCTAGTTGCCTGCCGATTTTGTCTGCATACTTTTTGTCAGGCCGGTGTGTATGTACATGTATACGACTTCATATAATCCCAATTACGTGATTGCATGAGATAAAATTTAATTGAGCATATATTGCAAATGGAAATTAGAAAAATTGAAAGTAAACTTTTTCAAATAATCAAACTTTTTGTTGCTGCCCAAATAAAACTTGCAGTTTTCTTTTCACCGTTATGTATTGTTACACTATCTCCTAAATATGTTGGATCTAAAGAAAAATAGGATATACAGTGTGTTGCAAAAAAATGGCACGTAAATTAAAAGATTAGTATTTTGCTTTATAAACATAATGAATAGTCTCTTTATATAAATATTTTACAAGTCCAGCTTCTTCTATTTGTTCCATTTGACTGATTGTTATATAGTAGAAGATGGTATCTGCAACAAAATAATGATTTTAAGCACACTTTACATGTTGCAAAGAATTTTTTATCCTAAAATAATATTTATATAATAAAGTGGCTATCTAACAGTTCTGATTTGAATTCTATCAAGAATATGTGACAGATTATTAAAAATAATGTAAAAAAAGAATACATAAAGATATTGGTGAGTTAAAGCAATTTATAATAGAAGAGTGGGATAAAATTCCTCAGGATATTATACAAAATTTAATCAGATCTATAAAAAATCATTGTGAACTAGTATTACAAAAAAATGGGGATAGAATTTCATATTAAAATTTTTATATTTAATATAGTTGTTTATAAGCTTTAAAATGAGTCCACTTTCATTTATTTCTGTGCGCCATTTTTTTCGCAACACACTGAACACAAAAGGTGAGTGAGCTCAGACTAAATGGTTTACAAGAAGAGGAGTTTTCTACTGTTCTAAGGTTCTCCTGTGCTAGTTTTTACGAAAGCCCCAACAATTCGGATTAATGCACAAAGCAATCTTTACAATATAGCACAAAGCAGGTTTATTCAAGATTCACAAAGCGAATTATAAAACAACTATGGTATCTTTAGAGTGGAGTTCCTCCACTATCAATTTGTGTTTGATACAAAATAAATAAAAGCCACTTTTACACAAGCTTTGAAGATAATCAATAATAGTGTATTCACGAATAATCAGATTGTAAGCAGGTTTTAATTTTTATTGATTAGAGCTGTTCAAAGGCCAATATCCGCTTTTTATATAAAAAAATATTAGTGAAAACAAGGGTATGAATTTCAAGAAATATCGATCTAAAATATTAAATATTGCTAAAATTGTATGTTTCTCGAGAAACGAATTGAAAGAGGTAACAAACAAAGATCAATAAGAGGTATAATTAACTTACGAAACGGTGCTGGGCATTAGTAAAAAAAAAGATGGAAATACTTGTGTCAGGGATTTACGGAGGAAAATATGGATTACAAGTCGCAATGTTACTACAGTAACGATATTAAAGGTCAGGTGTCTAGTTGTTGGTCGTAGATTACTATAGTTGCGGTAGTCTCGACGTCAAATTGCTATAATCACGAAATATTACAATGTTTTCTTGAACTTGACTTAATTGTTAACTTATGTTATTGACAATTTACGAACGTGAATTGCGCCAAAAATAGGGTCTAAAAGTTTTAAGGGTAAAGTTAAGGAATTACGAGATTCAGCGTTACTACGGTTAAACAGTATTAAACGATAGATGGCTACTACGTAATGATCAAAATAATTAAATATGAATTCTATTATATGTGTAGTTTAAATTAATTTCACATAAATTTTTTCTATTAGAAGAATTGATGCATCCGATAGAAGTCTATTTACTTTCGCATTCTATTTTATGATAAGCCTGAGTTGAGACACGCGAAACATTGTCTGAAAAATCTATAAAGCAGCTATAACGATAACGACAAGCAATCTGTGTAGCTCCACATAATAAGATAAAGTTATTTTGATTTTGATTCAAAAGTTTGACTGTTCTTTCGAGATTCAATTTTTTCTTAATATGATTAATAATAATGACACTACGTTAAACATCACTTTGAAAATTTGATTCTCTGAAAATAAAGGTGTTAATTTATTTTAAAATCGTACAGTCAAACCACAAACCTGGTTAGAACGAAGCACTAAACAAATCTTGATAAGCTAGAGTTAGATACAGAAAAAGTTATAGTAAATTTACCTGATTTACTAAATAAACCTACCGATCCAGGCCCGGACTATATACAAAAAATTTATTCACTGTTTTTAATATAAAATATTTATTAAGCTCTTTTTCTATATTGAATATTATCTCGGTGTCGTTCTCTTATCCAATGTCGTCCCAATTCCTATGTAAATTAAGAAAAATAATGACAATATGTTTTCAGGTGTTTCTTTTCTATATTATATCTGTTGATTGTCACTTGTTATGGTGCAGACTATATTGCAGGGCTTGAGATTGAACCTTCAAAAACAGCTCTGCATATTTCCAATCAATAATATGTAATAAATATATGCAAGAAAATTCTATTAAATAATCATATGTATAAAGCCAGACATACCACGATGTATGTATTAATATCATAAAAAATAAAAATTCCTATACAATAGGATCAAAATAACCCATCAAATATAGCATAATCTTTCTTACATTTTTATCAAAGAATCCGATTAAGTCCAAAGTTTATAATGCACATGCAATTTAAACAAGAAATTTTAAAGGAAAAGTCAGCTATTACTATTGCTGCAACCGCACTACTTTGCGCATTGAGTCGTATTTCCTTTAATCGGTTCAATATATTTTTGTAATTCACTTTGAAGCTCAGGAATTGGCGACGGATTCTTTTCGGCAAAATCAATCCAAGGTTGTGCCATGGCTATGTAACAATCACTGCAACGTATATTCTTCGGTAATGCAACTGTTTTTTCGGGGTCACCGTATGAAACTGATCCGTCGAGATCATGCTCAAATGCTACTTGTGCGTCAGGGGCTGATAAACTCGATAGATACTCTGTTATCTGTGTGCGAACACCGATCGCACAGTATGCTAAAAAAAAGGAATCACATGTAATCGTTACGTTAAGTTGAATGAATATTTAATAACTTTATAAAAAAATGATATTGATTCTTACTTCCATCAGAAGATTTGGTGCATATAGACTGTCTATATGGTATTACCGAATAGACATCTTTCCAAAGATACGATAAAGTATCAACATTGGTAGAATTTTTTACCCAATTAATCAATTCTTGTTTACAATCTCTCTGGATATCTGCGTTTAAAGTCAATAGTGCGGTTTGATTGCAAGGTAAATTGCATTTACTCGTCAATAAAGACGCATCATTACTAATAAGAGTAATGTTGTAGAGTCCCCAGCAAGTTGCAATATTATCATCCTTAGTTCTGTAAGCCGTTTTTTGGCATGAGCTGCAATTGCCGACTTTAAAATATTCTTCACATGGAGAGGACGTACTATTGCTGATGTTTGATTTGGCGTCTTCACTTAATGGGAAACTGATGACGAGAGTCAAATAAATGCAAATAACTAGTGAAAAAAGAAGCCTGTGATATACGAATTTCATATTTGTGTGTTTCACGAATTTATTGCAAATGATCATATTTTTCGCCGTTAATTTATATTGAAAACTGTTTGCGAAATGTATTAGATCATATTTATATAATCTAAGCCTTCACATGTTCATTTTAAGAGGCTTTGACAAATCGTCTTGAAAAAATTTACTGTAAACATAAAGCCACCGATCTAAAATCAGCCACAAGTAAATTGAGAAGGAAAAAATATGCGTAGCCATTTTGGGTAAATGAGTTATTGTATTGGATTCTATCAGCCTTAAAAACATATTTTAGCATTATCGAAAGTGGTTATACAATCAAAACTCGATATAACGACGACGGGACGGGGACATTGTCATCGTTATACATGTACAATTGAGTTTGACTGTTCATGTATATAGACCTTAATCTTTAATTCAAACTTTACATAGCTTTGTAAACTAAAATTTTTTAGCGTTCTAAAATACTAAATTTATGTAAATGTTAGCTATAGCTAAGCAAAAAGCAACTAGCATTCACCAAAGTGAAGTACGTGTTTATGGTAATAATTCTCCCTATAAAAACATTTGACGAATACATATATTCAATATCAATATCAATTAGTTTAATATTCATATAGCAATTTCTCGTGCATGTTCATTTGTTATCGTTATACATGTCCATGTAGAAACATCTTTAAAAAATTATAGGAAATTTATAAAAATCTAACTAGAGTAAAATAGCATTATAGATGAGATGTGATAGAAAAAGTATTTTATTTCAGCGGTTATCGAAAAATTCTATAATGATTATCATATTTTTGTAATTACTACATGTACAGTCCGCACGGAAAAATTTTTACTATATAATTGGCCTCCTTTTAAAAAGAATGTTTTAAAAAAATACATGACATTTCTATAACTCTATTTCGAAATGTATCGCCAGCCATTGAAAGCATAATACATATTTCGGTCGGGCAGAATTTTTGATAATTGTGATACAGATGAAAATCGTCAATTTGACTCTCGGATTTTATTAATCAACAAGCCTTTGCCTATTAGTCAAAAATGTTTAACTCAAAGAATTGTATTAGAAACAATATATAAAGAAACTTGAAATAACGTTATTTATAGTAGTTATTATTTTTTTAAACATATCAAATTGCATTCAAACCTGCATTGATATGGAGGCATTTCTAGTAATATTTTTTTGTGTAGTTATCTTTATAAATCACACCTGCATATTAAAAAAACCAAAAGCCATTACATTCCGAGTTCATTTTACATGTACAGTACCCACAGAAAGTATCATCCGATTTGAAATTATATAGCAAAACATAAATAAAAATTTTTTTCATTGTTTTATAGTTAAATTAGTTTTTGCATCTTAAGTCGCCCACAGCTAGAAAAAGAAATATGAACATATATATAGCTTGAAATTTCAATTTTTTATATGTAAAAATTTTATAAAAAGCTTGGGAAAAAATTTTTTCCTTTATAATCAAAATGGTCTTTGCACTTTAAGTCGTTCTAGAATGATTTTCCATTTTTTTATATTTTTTACTACATGTATATAATTTTGAACCGAATCTCATAGATAGAGTTATCAAAAATTTATCTATTCTCATTGGCTGCTGGATGGTGATCGACAAAACCTAATATTTGTTTTTGGTTTCAGGTGTACGCACCATTTATATGTATAAACCAGATTTTTCTACGACAATTTGTTATCAGGTTTGCCTTGCCTTTTCGATTTAATTTAGAAGATTGCGCAATATCCTTTAAAATTTGAGAGATATATAATAAAAAATGGCATCAATTAGTATACAGTGACTCACTAAAGAAACGGAATGCGGAAAAAAATGGCGAGGTTCAAATAACTCGCCATTGAAGAATTATCAAAGACCAAAAGAAAGTGGATTTATTCATTATATAATATAATATCTATAAAATTAAAAAATATTTTTATTTATATAACTTTTTTTAAATATAAATTTATATAAGCATTATTAATTGTTAATTTATTTCTTGCTTTATTAATATATATATATTTAAATTCTTAGTATTTCATAATATTTAATAAAATTAATAAATTTAAGTCTAATCTAATTCTATTTTTGAAAAATTTGATTGTATTAGAAAATAAAAAGTAATCTATATTTTAGAAAATCTTTATTTTTTATCTTATATATAAACTTTAGCATAATATATAATAATTTTAATATAACTTTTTTTTTCTATCTATTTAAATTTATATCTTATTAATATATTTATCTTTAATTAATGGATTATCTAATCAGATTATTTTATAAATTGATCAAAAATTTTCTTTTATAAAATATTTAATTTTGATAAATCTTTTTACAGAATTTTATTTAAATAATTTTTATTTATTATTAATTCTATTATATTTTTTATTAGATTATTAATATTTTTATTATTATTAGATATTTATTATTATAAATTTATTTATAATATTTGAAATAATTATCATATTATTTATATTCTTAATAATCTAATATTTATTACAGTATCTGATAAAAAGAATAATAAACAGATTTTTTGATAATACACAAGTAATTTATTATTGATTGCATTTTTTTTACATAAAAGTTAAATATTAATACATAAAAGATAAATATTAATATTATATTTCTCTTTATTAGATCAATACTTTATATAGTTTTCTTCTATATTAATATATAATTATAATTATAAAAAAAAAGATTTTTGTTGAATCAAAATATTTCATAAAAATTAAGAAATATTCTTTTTGTTTTTAAATAATTTTGTTTACTAATAATATTATTTTTATATATTAAATTCTTAATAGTTATTATTATTTTTCATCCAAGATAAATATATAATTAGTATAAAATATATATTATATTATTTATAATTATTTATGCAAAAATTAGATAATTATAGTTATACTGCTACTGTAGTAATATAAAATTTCTTAATTCCTTAATCTTTTCTTGGTTATATAAAATCATATTTTATTATAATTTTTATTTATTTTATAAATATCCTTATTTTTATATTAATTATTACTATATTTATTATCAAATTATATAATTTTTGATTAATTTTCAATGATTTAATTTTTATAATTTTGTATAAATTTTGATTATTTTATTTATTATTTTTTACTTAGATAAGATTTTTTTCTTTATTTTTAATATCAAACTATTATTATATAATATATAATGAATAATAGATGCTGATATATTAATATTCTCTTTTTTTTATATATATATTTAAACTTCTTCTATAAATAAATATCTCCAGAAGATAATAAAATTAATAACTTTTTTATTAGTTTATTTATAATAAATAATTAATCAAATCTTATTGCATCTTCAAGAGAATATTATTTTTGTTATCTCTTATTAATATAAGAAACTATTAAGAAATTAATATTTCTTGATTTATTATTTGTCTGAAAGAAAAATTTATATTTATTTTTTTAATATTATATAGTAAGTTTGCACTTTAATTTTTTAACCAAAAAGTTATAATATAATATAATATAATATATAAATAATACTATCTTTTATATAATATTTATATAATATTATTATAGTGAATTAGTAAATGGAATTTTACTTTAATTCATCTTAATAATATAGGATTGGGAGAGACTGAAATAATTAAAGATAATGAGAGAGGAATTAGACTATAATTTTCAATAATGACAAAGATTTCTAAGACCTGTGCCAATATCTATAGATATTGTCTTAATAAAAGATAAATAAATAAAGAAAAAATAAAATAAATTAAAGAAATTATAAAAATTGACTAAGTGAAGCCACTAGTAATTGATATAATTCAAGATTTGAATTAATTAAATAGTATAAACTATTAATCAAA